GGGACATACAATGTGCTTGTTAACACAAAAACAACATTTCTTTCATTCCATCAGAGATATTGATAATACTTTACCAGTGTACGATGGTCTTAACATGTAAAATTTCATAAAATGCTTTTTGAGAAACTATCATCGAGCTGTACAAAGCAAAAACAGTAATCACTAAACATCAGCTCAATGGTCCTTAAATTAAGGACCAAGACTGATTATTACTCTTTATCACACACTGTTGGGTTTTATTGAAGTGATGACTAAATCTGAAATATTTCACGGCTATAGTAGTTATATAATTATATAGCAAACCAAAGATCCTTCATCCTTCCTCACCGAACTCCTTCGTGAATCTCTCATGCACCTCAAGATCTGCTTTGCTTACTGTTGGCTTCTGTTTCCATAGCACTCTGTCAAAATCCCTTATGCTGATTGGTGGTGGTGTAATCTGCAACAGTACCAACCAATAATTGGTATCAACAAACAGCCATACTTGCATTAGCAGAAAGTTGGTCCTAAAAAAGTTTCTACAGAGACGAGCTATTCACAAGAACCATACACTTGACAGAGAATAATAATGTGAGAAAGATGAGAGTCTGAACTGACTTAAAGTAGGGCATGCTTATCATAAATATCAGGAGGTTCAAAACTCTTGGATCAAGAAAAAATACGAGGGATACCCTGCCCATTCAATTGCCACATAGAAGTATAATATCCTCGTCTAAGAGCTTCACAATGATTTTTTTAATAGTTCAATAAGCAACTTTGAAGACAGCACAGACCCTGGAGCTTTTCAATATCTACTTCCACAGCAAACTTTAATTCATCCTTCTTTTAAAAAAAATTGGATTATATCGGGACCTTTTTGGAGTCAACCTTTATGCAGGTTAGTCATGAAACTCCCCCCTTCCCCCTGCACGCCCTGCCCTAAAGTTTTTTTTACATAAAAAGAGGAAGTGACTGTTTTAATGTCCTATCTGAATACAAACACTATCCACAGAAATAACTCCTATGGGAGGGGGGAGTAAAAATTAAATTAAGTCTAGCGAGGAAGACTATTGATATCTAGAAAAACTATTCGGCTTTTGCTATGTCTCAGTGTAATCTTGTAGCGAGATCATCGCATCTGCAGTGTTAAGTATGACACAAATTTCAATTGCATGTTCTATGCAGTTCATTTGGTGAATACCCACGGCACAATACAGGCAGCATCATATAAGGCATGACTACAACTAATATCAGAATGTAGTCAGCAGATCTGCCAGAAGCAGTCTATGTTATTACCTTTGAAGCAAGGCCTTTTGCTGCAAGCTCCTGCATATTAGTCTGAATAGCACCTGGTTGTCTAGGTCCACAAGGCACCCACAACCCATCACTAGTCTTAATGAAAAACTCAGCGTCTTGAGTTTTACGTACAGGTTCAAACAAGACTTCATTTACCTGTCATTTGAAGGAGGATGTGAAAAAAAAAGCAACTTCAGCCACCTTTGAGAAAGTTTGCTGACTGATTAGCTTGGGATATTAGACCAGCTAGTACTCAATAAAAACACAATAGTGCTTCAAAAACTGTTTCAGCTAAAACTATGATACTTACACACACAGAAATGTCTGAACCTGAAAAACCTTCTGTTTTCCGAGCTAGTTGCTCAAAATCACTTTCTGTCAAGTTGTGAGGGGTATCTCCTAAATGTACCTGCTCATGAACACAATAAGATTAGTATGTCGTAACACCAGAGACCAATGCACCAGGAGGATTCCTGATAGCTTAAAATATTTCACATGTACCTTGAACATGTGCTGCCTTGCCTTCAAATCTGGTAGGGGAATGTATATTCTTTTGTCAAATCTCCGTCTAATAGCCTGGGAAAGCTACACGTTAGACAGGAAAGGAGAAATAACTCTAGCATGAATTAAAGAGTGTCGAAAGGCCCTTCTAACCTGGTCTAATGAGTAGGGAGTGTTTGTCGCTGCAAGAACCAGAACTTTTTTGTCGTCATCGTGCCCTACACCCTAGAATGCATTGAAGATAGTCAGCCTAAAGCAATACAGAAAAGTATCATGAAATTTATTGAAAAAATTCTACAAAGAGCATGGTTCATTTCCAGTTATTAAAAAAAAGCCTCATATAATCTTTAGTTAAACTCATTTTTGCAAGCTCCGAGTGATAGACAAGAATACGACAACTTCATAACTGTAATGAAACGTTCCTGATGCAAGACAAGTTCACAGTAATTATAGAGTTCAAAATTCTGAAAATGCACTGCAAACAAGAGTAGGGAATGGTAGAATGGAAGGGCTTTATGTTGCATGATGGCTTAGAAATGTTAAAAGAACAAAAGAGGCTGAAAAAATTTGAAAATGACGGCTGTTCCCAGAACACAAGAGCATTGGCAAGAGGAAAGGAAGCTGAAGGAATTTCCCTCAAGTTCTTAAGGATCATACCATAAGGTTGTAATGGTATTCAAAGCAAAGGAAGCACCAAAGCCTGAGATCTCTCAACTCCAGCACAATTGCTTAAAAACACTCTGAACTCCATCTATCCAAAAATAAAAAATAGAAAATGAAGACTCAAAGCCCTATCCTATTGAATATAGTTTTTTCTCAAATTCCTAACCAAACCAGGATATAATGTGTAATATACTAATATCTAACTACTATTCATATGTTTCTCCAAGCAAAAAGTTTGACGAGTTTGCTAAGGAATAATTCTGCCAGTAGCTAATTAGTGAAAATAAGAACTCGGAATCAAGAAAGCAATTCCAATATATCCACACAACATAATTTACCTGCATTTGTACAAGAAGCTCAGTTTTGATACGTCTCGATGCTTCACTTTCACTACCCTCACCTCTTTGGCCACACAGGGAGTCAATTTCGTCTATAAATACTATTGAAGGAGAACTTTCTCGGGCCATTTGGAATAGATTTGACACAAGTTTTTCACTTTCACCCATCCACTTTGAAACAAGGTCTGATGAAGAAACACTGCATAGCCAAGACAGGAGAATTTCAGATACATGATGTTTGTCTGTTAAAGAAGTCGAAGATACTAGGCAGAATAAAATATTGATTTCTGGTCTCCCAAACCCTTCCTCTCCCAGGCAGTGTGTCTCTGCATGCTTGTGTGTGGGAGAGTGATGAATAGGAAATGGATAACAAGCAGATGTTTCCACTGTGCATGGTCCTTACCTTTTACTTCTATTCAATGTTATTGCACTTCAACAATAATGGACACTAAAATATACACAAGACTTTTCCACTAAGTGGAATTGAGAGCATATCTTTTCTTGAAGGTAGAGAGTTCCAAAGTGATGCAAGAGGAAATGGATAAGAAGGAAATGTCATTAACACATATCCTTTGCCATTTAATAAAATCCAGAAGAACCTGAATCTCGCACACCAGTTTCATCTTACCTGAAAAAGGTTGAATCTGCTTCTGTAGCAACAGCTTTTGCTAGGTATGACTTTCCTGTTCCAGGTGGACCATACAACAGAAAGGCTCTCCACGGTCGACGCTTGCCTAATAAGAAAGTAAACAATGAAACAGGAATGCTAACTCAAGAAACTATGAACATAAAAAGACTTCTACGTAATATTTTCATACAGTTATCGACTTCTTATCAGGAAGTAGCATTACTCTTGAAGTTGCAGTTTCAAATACCTTCATTAGGATCTCCAACTAAATACCCCAAGGGACTACTTCACTTGTATGACTCTTTTCACCATTTTGGTATAAGGTTCACAGAAGAAAAAGAAGTTAGTGGTCCCAGTACTTGGTTTCAAAAAGAAAAGCGACTAATCACAAATGATTATATTTCAAAAAGGAAAACCTAGCTGTGGAGAAAAAATATCACTAAGTCTTCTACAACTGCGGTATTTTCCCCTTAAACTAAATTGTTTACTATTTTCATTCTTAAACCCAAAAGGTGTACTTAACAGCCTCTTTCTTTAAACATCCCAGATAACGTTGAGGTAAACCAGGAACACAAAACCTCTACCATTTTTATTTTTCCCCTTCCTTCTATTTACTACTCCCACCACCATGGTAACCTTCAGTTAACAATCAAATTCTTCTCACCTATGTTTTTCATCCTCCTATTTCTGCTGTTGCTAATTCTCGACAGTATAGCCCACTGCCAACCTCTCCTCAACCTCACATAATTCCCTCTCTCCAGGCTGCCATTGGAGGTTCTTTTTCTTTTGTTTTCACTAAGATCCACTGTATTGGTCGCCTCAGCCTAGCCCATGAAGTTTCTCACCTCCCTTCTCCATCTCGTGCTGCTTATTTTCTTTATCTTCTCTCTTCCTGCTCCCCCTCTGCCCTCTTTCCACTATAAGAGCCAACTGCAGGTCCAACAAGTGGATGCTGGTTGGAAAAAGGAAGACAGGGAAAGGAGAAAAGAAGAGAGGAAGAAAAAAAAATGATAAGGAGGATTGAAATAGTATGCGGAACCTCATTTTTAAGAAGTCACAAAAAGGTAAGTTACTTCACTTTAAAGTTCGAGACAACAATGCAATGTAATTTAGTTTAAGAGAAAAATTATCAGGGTTATAAGAGTTTAGGGTGGAATTCTGCACTTACTAACATTCCTATTACAATATAAAGGAGGTGGTGTAAAGTAGTGTACCAAAACAATTATAAAGTGGAAATATTATCCCCAATATATAGGGAAGATAAACATAAGTTATTGAACAGACAATACAGTAGACTGATATAAGCAAAAATTATGCTACAAAAATTGAAAGCCAAAAAACACTTTGAACTGAAGATGTATACTAGTATAAATTATCCACGAGGAATGATACAACATCTTTAAACCTTAATTCACTTCTTTATAACAAGCTTTTATCTAATTTATGTACAAAAACACAGAAAAGAGAAGTGGCAAACTAACCAGTGAAAAACTGAGGAAACTTAACCGGCAGGATAACAGCCTCTTGCAATGCCTGCTTGGCACTCTCAAGCCCTGCTACATCATTCCACTTCACATTAGGTTTTTCCCTTACAATAGCGGAATTAAGCCCAGCTCTTAACTTTACATTCTCTGAATCATCACCCTCTCCTCCTCCTCCTCCATTCTTTGGCTTTGACTTTGCGCGCGACGCAACAGCAGCATCTCCATTGGACGTCGGCCCACCACCTCCCTCATCTAGAACAGAACGAATCTCCTCAGCCCTCCTCAAATACTCCACAAACTTCTGGGTAATTGCTTCCTTAATCTTGGGATTCTTCTCATATTTCAAATGAGTTTTAAAATACTCCAAAGCATTCATATATAGAGAGAAAGCCTTCGCATAATTTCCAGCATTATCTTCCTCAACTGCTTGCTTCACATAAGCTACTGCCTGCTCCTTGAAATTGCTATACATCTTATAATCACAAACCACATACAAAATTCAAAGCTTGAAACTTTTAACAAGCAAACCGAACCCACGTTCAACAAACTATACCTCAATCCTCCCCAAGTCTTACTTTTCTTACGATTTCCTGATCACCAAAAAACAACTCTGTCAAGAAACCAAGTTATCATTTTTAACCATACAAACAACAACAACAAACCCAGTGCAATCACAGAGGTGGGGTCTCGGGAGGATAGTGTGTACACAAACCTTACCCCTAACTAGAGAAGGTAGAGAGGCTGATTCCGATAGTTCCTCCACTCAAAAACAAATGAAAAATACAATAGTAGCAACAAGATTGTTATTTTTAACTATGTATTCCAAAAAAACAACAACCCCCTACTGCATATGATCAAAATCAAAGAAACCCAGTTCAGAAAACATCTGTATACTTCAACTAAACAACAGGCATAATTCGATTCGATCAATCATCAATTCTAGTTTGAATTTCAAAACCAAGCTCAATCTTCAAAATTCTTTCCCCAAAACCACTCAATCAGAAACCATATCCTTAAATTTCAACTATTTCTTCAAAATTTACAAACCCCAGACACCAAGCTTCTATCTTTTAACTATTTCTTCCAAAAAACAACAACCCCTTTTGCATCTGATCAAAATCAACCAAAACCAGTTTTAGAAGTACCCAAATATAACTGATTCATTAAATCTAAAATTCTAGTTTTCAAGATCATGATAAGTAATACATGCAAAAGCAAATCCAAAACAAACTACGAAAAGGGTATCTGAAATTGAGGGAAACGAAATCAACAAACCTGTAAATCAGCAAAAATCAAAGCTCTAATGAAAATAAAAAAAATCCGGGAAATTCAACTTTTTCAACGAACGCGTTATAGAATCTGCAAAATTTTGGAAAATTTGGAGAAGGAATTTTAGTTAAAAATTTGAGATTTGATTAGTTTGGAGTTGGAATTTGGTGGTGTCAACTTCCAAATCACAAATTCCAGAAAAATCAGACTGGCAATTCCTCCTCCTTTCCTTTTTTTTTTTAATTCTTCTTTGAACTTTTTCCAATAAAATAAAATAAAATATAACCAATTTCAGATTGAGTATAATTATTTTATATTTATGTCAAATCTAAATAATTTGATTTTTAACAAAAAAAACATACTATAATGATAATAGATATTGGTAATGTTTATATTATATAAAATATTCTTGTCCAAGTTACCAAGCATGTGCGACTTGGAAGGTAAAATTTTATTCGTATTGAAGGTTCGTGTTGATTGTTTATATTAACTTAATATAATTTTAATGAAGTCAAAATGTATATTAATTAATCTTAGTTGAAGTGAGAATTAGGTTTTGATCGTGTTATATTCTTTATCACCGATACTTTACTATATGAAAAAATCTATCCCATTGAATGATCTTAGTAATGTACTAAATCTAAAGAATTGAATAAGTGTTTTCTAAAGAACATAATCGAGGACAAGAATTTTGTGAGTAGAAAAAGAGCACAACAAAAATTAAAAAATCTAATATGAGATATATATATATATATCTGAAGTTTAGCTATACATATACATAAACTTCGTGCAAAATATATACAATTTTGTCATATACATACTCGGATTCATGTAAAAATATTTAAAATTTCGCCTTATATAAATATTCAAAGTTGGCTTTGACAAATCAAGTAAATTTTTGAGTAATAATATCCAAAAATTTGACCATGGCAAACTAATACCACACTTCAAAATGTCCAAAGTTTATCAAACTTCAAACATGAACTCTTATAATTCTATTATTTTGTTAATCAAATTTCATACACAAATACTTATAATTTCAGTCCTATATATTTTAAGCTATTTCGAAATTAGTAAATGTATATAAAAAGTAACGACAATAACTTCCGATACCACTTAAATAATTATTTCAAATTTAGGTATTTGTGCACTTTCAAGAAAAATCACAAATAATATCAAATTATTTGAAAATAAATATGAAATTACACCCAATAACCTAAAAATAGATAGTTACTATCTCCGTCCACTTTTAATTGTCATAGTTTCCTTTTTTAGAGTTAAACTATAAAAAATTTGACTAACATTTTATGATGTGTTTTTTCATCATATTAATATGCAAACAAAATGCAATTTATGTACTTTTCATATAGTTTTTGAATATCTATTTTTTTTTAAATATCGAATAAATGTAATTTAATTTAACTTTGAAAATTAGTTAAATTGACTTTCAAAAAACGTAACATAACAAATAAAAGTGGATGGAGAAAGTAATAATTTAAGACCACTTATCCTCATGGTGGTACGTTACCCTAATAAAGTTTTGCCTAATGAAAACTAATTTGTATATTTATTCACATTACAACTACTAAATGTTGGATTAACTAATAAAGGAAATATGAAAACTTGTGTTTACTTTTGAATGAGAAGATAAGAAATTTAATGAACCTTAGCTTATTCCACGCTGATTAATTTATTTTGTGACACGTAACATATCAAAAAGAAATATACCCTCTATATATACATAGTTTTTAATTTAATGGATAGCAACATTTTTTAGTTCTTGCAGTATTACTCAAAAAATGGGAAATAAAGCCTACTTCTTCTGCTGTTTATGTATCTATGCTTATATGACCACTTTTCCTCCTGGTAAATTTCATCACTCATAAATTGTAGTACGTAGTTTAAGATAAAGTTTAATTTTGTTGAATCTAAAAGCTTAAAGGTTAAGCTGTTAGAGATAGCAGTTTTATTATTTAATTATATTTTTAATACGTTTTTTCATTTGTGGACCTAATTCTTTTTCATGGCTGAGCATGTGGAAATTCTTTTTGATATGGGTGACAACGAGATTTTGATTCAGGACTTTTGTCTGCTATGATACTATGTTAAAGTGTGTGACTATCTCATCTAAAAACTTAAACGGATAGAAATAATACATTTTTATTATTTAATTATATTCTCAACAAATTTCAATTTGTTTGTTCGATTTGCTTAAGAAGTCTCACATCAGTAGAGGGAAGGGATACCCTCCTTTACTAGCTTTTGGGGTTGCGTTAGGCCCAGGTGCCAAATCATTACGTTTCAAGAAAAAAAGTCTAGGAGATTCACATGCGGATATACTGATATTTAAGATCTAAATTTTATGAATTCAATATTTAAGATTTTTTAGCATTGAACTCATTATATTTCTGAAGTTGGATGTTTATATCTATTATTTGTTGCAATTTTAGTGATTTTTTATTACGTAACCTTATGCTCCACGTAAAAGTACTAAATTCAGATAAATCCAGTATCGTAATATTGGATCCTCCCTTGGTCAGCATCTATTTATTTTTTTTTGGTTGCAGTTGACATGATTGAGGAGGTTGATGTTGTACTCAAAAGACAACATGGGAAGCACAAACATGGTGAAATTAAACTGTTTGTTTTTGGAGACTCATATGTAGATACTGGGAATTGGCCAAAATCTATGTCTAGTTCTTGGAAACATCCTTATGGCTTCACTTATCCTGGTTATCCTTCTGGAAGATTCTCCGACGGCCTTGTACTCACTGATTTTATTGGTACGTACATCGTCTGTGTCACTAATGTTTGCATTACATTATGTTATTTACATGCATAACGTAACATCTCTGTGGTGTCACTCTTCTTTGAATCCTGCTAACGTGAAACATTTTGTACATCAAACGACTGTCCTTTCTTTTCTTTTTAATTCTTTATATTAGTGGTCTCAAATGAGCGAATTAAGACTATCAAAATCATGAATTGAATTAATAATTAATAAATTAATGAGTTATAGACTAACCAACCCATCCAATCGGGGGCGGATTTTACTTTCAAAATTAAATTATGATAAACGTGAACACATGATCTTTCCGCAAAATCAAGTATTCTATGTTCATATTTCTTAGAATTTGATCTTATATAGTCTGCTGGATCATGTTTCCGAAAGACTAAAAGATGTACTTGGTTTAATATTGAGTTATTTGCTCGATCGGAGTAATAAGGACAGAATGATTTTCATGACTTAATACTTTCTTTTTTCTCTTTTATCTAAATTCTGATGATGTACTCATGTTCTAGAAAATCTCTAAATTTCGCATTTTCAATAAGTTTAAATTTCTATTAATTTTTTTAATTACTTAATATTTGACTTTGTAATTAATTAATGCAGCTTCATTCCTTGGTATAAAATCTCCACAACCTTATGCTAATAGAAAGAAAATATCATCACATGAAATGGATAATTATGGGGTAAATTTTGCATATGGAGGCACAGGTGTATTCAATACTTTTGTTAACCAACCAAATATGACAACACAAATAAATTATTTTCAACAACTTGTTGAAGAAGAGGAACAAGTGTACAACAAAGAGAAGATGAGTTCATCAATTGCTATTGTGTCTGTGGTAGGCAATGATTACGCTACTTTCATCACCAAAAATAACAACAATATGGAGGTAATTAAGTTGTTAAACTAACCTAACTTTTATGTGTATATATATATTCAACAATATGGAGGTAATTAAATAATGTATCTAGAATTGTTTGGTTATCTATATGGTCTTATTTTCTTGCGTTTGCTTACCTAGCAAATGTCTTTGAGAAGTACCATGATGGAGTTCCAACAAAAAAGAAAGAAAGAAAGTCATCCTTGATTAAGTCTTAATAATGGATACAAAGTCATCCGCTAGTGATACTATCCGCTCTGGGTTTAGGCCCGCAATGAATTTAAAATGCGTCCCTAGTTGATAAGATATGCTTACTTATATACCCAACATCTTTCATGTGTTTTACTGATATGAGACTTTTTATCTTAAGTTGGACATCACACCTTCAATATATATGGAAATTTACTCCACCTAATACTTGTATCAGACACCGGGTGAGGACCAAGTACCACCCCACCCCACCCACCCAAAAAAAAAACACCCATAGAAGCAAGAAATCTCTAGATTTAGCTAGGGAAGTTTTTTTTTTCTTCTTCTTCAGATTCTCATTTCAGTGTCCGTATACACATTTGAAATCCGACAAAAATTGGATTCACGCCAGAAAGTTCCACATTAAGTGGTAAAGCTTTCTCTAACAAAGGTGACTTTGTATCCTTTGACTAAAACCCAAAATATTTGGTTAAGGATGAAAGAGTACTTATATAACTCCACCAACCATGGTTCTCTTGCTCTTGATCTCATTATTTTTTAATCATCTCCAATAACTATTTTAAATGTCATTTAATTAGCCAATATAAACAATTAAATCCCCCTCTAAATATAAAAAAATATTCATTAATTAATTTCTTCTAGTCATTACTATAATAAAATGCTAGATCATATTTTCTAATTAGTATTTTTTTGGTGCAGGATTTGGGCAATGTTACTAAATCAATATTAAGTCAACTTGAATTAAACCTTAGACGTATACATGGATTAGGAGTTCAAAAAATAGGAATAACAGCAATGGAACCCATAGGTTGTTTGCCAAAAATGACAATTAGTTCTTCTTATGAGAATTGTAGTGAATATGCCAATTCTCTTGCAATATTTCACAATCAAATGTTACATCAAATAATAGACAAACTCAACAATCAAACTAGTAGACCAATTTTCTTCACTATTGATCTCTATAGTGCCTTCATGACTGCCTTGAACATACAACAAAACCATCCAGGTAATAGTTAATTTCACGTATGGTTACTGAACTTTGATCACATGTACGTTAAATTAAGTATGCATTTTACACCATATGCACTAATTCGCGGTTTTATTGAATTTTTTACCCCTAATTAATCTTTCATTTTTTTTTAGGAAATTCAAACTTTGAGAATCCATTGAAACCATGTTGCATGGGAATTTGTGGAGATAAGAAGAAATATGTATTATGCAAAAATCCAGAACTTTCATTCTTCTGGGATGTAATTCATCCTTCTCAACAAGGCTGGTTTGCTGTTTTTTCTGCTCTAAAACCGTCTCTAAGTTCCTTATTGTAAACCATATAGGGATGATTACGTGTTTGAACCATTCGATCATTTAATTTAAAAATATGTAT